ATTACTAAACAGGTATTTATTAGAAGAAGGTCAGAGACCACTTAAAGACTTCCGCTTAGAACAGTTGCAATTATTAATATTCATATTGATCACCTCAAACACTCTGGAGTTTAAGAAATTTCTGGGAAGATTATGAAAATCTTCTATACAGTTATTCTAAAGCTGTACAACAATTTTCTACAATTTTCCTTAAAGAGAAGAATTACCTTTACAAAGAAATTACTTTGCACCCAACAGTTTAATACAAATAAAATAAATCTTCCCTATTAATTGCACTCTAAACAATCCAACCCAAAAGAAAGCATTAGATACATAATCATCCAAAGCTGTAAATGCAATGAATCGTACAGTTTGTCTCTCAGATACCTTACCTGGTCTCTTTCAGTCAGTAAACTAATGTCCCTAGAGGTTGCAGGACGAGACTGACAAGCTTCGCTCTACCTGTCTGCATAATTTTTCAGATTTGCTGATTGGTTGACCTTTCTAACACAGATGATCCTCTTACGTTCATTAATCGTATAATAAAGGTGTCATGGAATGTAGTTATTATTTAGTTAGATTTAGAGCGGTAAATGCCATCTAGCTTTTAAAAATAACAGCATCTGAACTCAGATTACCTTTTAATCATATGTTTTGTTTTTTTAACATAAATTTTAATCAGTTTTTGGATAATTCTGTTTCACTTGTCTAATTTCTGTAATATTGCTACTAAAGCTGCACAATATATTGAAATGTGAGTTTATTCAGTTACAGATGAGCAAATCACATTTTCTTAAAAAGTAAAAAAGAAAAAAAGAAAACAGAAGTTTAAAACACTGAATCTTTAGTAAGAGAAGGACCTTATGACAAGTGTTTTACTTCTTTCCCTCCCAAAAAAAAAGCTAAATATTTTTTTTTATGTTTATCAATACCATGAGTTGCAATGTAAAAAATGTTTTCTCTCTATAGTATTTGGTTAATCATGTGTGTAAATATTAACTTTGATTGTTTTACAGTAAAACAGATTTTTACTTTAACAAAGCGTTTTGTTTTTAGAATATATTAATCGTACATAAATTTCTTTGCTCTCTAAAGCGATTCCATCCCTCTTTTCTTATTCCAGGAAAGAGTTTGGATCACTCTCCCTGCCCCTTGTTGTTGGAAACTCTGGTGCCTTTGATTCTACTTAATCATTGAGAGATCAATTATATTTTTTTATTATTCACAATGCGATATATTTGGGCATGACCAACTTTTTTACATTCCATGTTGAGAAAAATAAACATTTCTCATTGAGATCTGAGGATGCCTATGGTTATAGAGTTCCTCTCTCTCATCACTTCTCCTTTCCAAGCGCCTGATCAGGGTCAGCTGACACAACGATAAACAATGAGCAGTAGCAAACAGCCTGGAGTAGCAGCTCACTAGCGGTTTCCAAGTACTGTAAGGCTTAAAGAGCCGTGTTTGTCTGCTGTTGCTGAAAGTGTTGCTGTAATATTACCCAACTGGAAAAAAAAAAAAAAAACAGGGCACATACAAACATCTGCTCACAAATGAACAGCTGAATTATCTGTAGGGGTAAAATCTGATAATGCAATTTTTTACAGATCCAAAGCTGGATCATAGAAAAGGCTATAACCAGCAATATCACTGAGCAACTGCATAATCCTAAAAGCTGAAATCCTCAGTCAATGAGTCTCTAATCCAATCCATGTCCACTCACAGAAATAGTAGCAGAGCTAGTCCAGGCATTAGAAACATGTTTTCAGCATCATAAAAAGGATGAGTGTAATCTTAATTCTTTTATAAACAGACATGGAAAAAAAAAAAAATCCAGGCACTCAGTTTGAGAAAGTGGCTAGATTAACGGCGGCCGTTAAAGCTGAAATTCCCTTTTAGTTTACAAAGACTTTTGCATGTTTTGCTGTACAAAAAGAGAACTTTGCCTTAGTAAAAACAAAAATATATACATTAAAATATGTAATTTAAAATTTCAAACAATGACTTTGTAACTTTGCAGTTAACAAAAATTCTGCAAGATTTCACAGCCAGCTGTTATATAAATAAAATTGCATTAACAAATGGAACAGGTAATAGTGTGTTTGCAAAGTGCAAGCTGAACCAATACTGTACTCCATGTGCAAACAGCTAAAAGAGAGAGAAGTTCAATGCAGGTACCGTGATTTGCCTACAACACTGTTTCAAACAAATCAAACACTTTGCATTGTATTTGAATGCCTGGCAGACAGCTTTTCAGTTAGTTTGTTGTTCCCAGTTATTTACTCTCTTTATATGATCCCCATATTTAAGCAGACTAAACTGCAACAAGAGGTAGAGAACTGATCAAAGTCCGTTTTCAGCATTTAGTTAATGCAGAAGGCATTAGTGATATTACACTGATGAAAATGTAAGAAGATGCAGCTAAACGCCATCTTGCAGACCGATGTCTGCTAGTTAGCCTTGCTAACAGATCTGCGGTGTAGGCCTGGGGGCAGGGCAAAGCTCGCATTCGGAAGAAATAAATAAACACAACCTATACCACTATATTTACGCTTAAAATCATTAAAGCCGGTTATTGTG